CTCGCCCCCACACTTCCTCCCCCCGGCTGCTCCTGGGCGCCCTCGGAGGCCGGGCGGGCGGGAAGGCAGCGGAGGCGCCCACGTGGCTGCGGCGGCGGGTGAGCTGGGGCTCGGAGTTGCCTGGTCCTTTGGAGCCCCCGCCCACCAAACTTTCTTTCCTGGGGACAGGCCTGCACTGACCCTCCCCTGTGGGGGACCCTGCGCTCCGGGCTCCTGGCGCTCGGGTCGCGGAGGATCTGCGGGGAGACGGCCGCGCCCGCAGCTCGGCGCCCCGCCCCCGGGAAGCTCAATAAAGGGCTAATGCACCCCGCCCGCAGCTCCCCTCACTGCTCGCTCAGCTCGGCTTCGACGCGCCCATCACCGTCCCTCCCTTCTCCGCATCTGGGACCAGTTGGGGGGCGGAAGTGAGGTGAACCCCTACTGGGCGTCTCGTGGATGACGGGCCGGGATGCCCGAGCTCAGTGCCAAGGACACAGTAGGGGGTGGTGTGGAGGGATCAGGACTGGAGTTCGTGGGGGACTTGGGGATATTGAGGACACAGGATCCTGGCTGAAAGCCGTTCTCCTAGTTCCCTCCCGCCAGCCCGAGAGGCCCCACTTTCCTGTGGGTTCCCACCCTGCTGTGGAAGGTTTCTGCACCCCCACGACAGAGGCAAAAGGCTCTTCAGCACTTTTATTAAAAACTAGTAACGCAGAGAGTGTTCAAGGCGTCCCCGGGCGGCTCCAGCCCCGCGGGCCTGGGCCAGTTCCGGTTGAGCAGGTGCCAGCCCGGGGATAGGGGGTGGGGTTCGAGGTTTGGGGGACCCCAGGCCCCGCGGGTCACTTGCCCACCGACTCGAATATGATGCGGTTCTGCTCTGCGCGCTCCCGCTGGCTCTGCGTCCGCGCCAGCTCCAGCAGGGTCCGCAGCAGGTGGAAGGTGAGGTCAATGGACAGTGGAGGGTCATCCCGTCGCGGCCGTTCGCCTGAGGTCCCAGATCCCCATCCGCCCGGCCCTGCGCGGCGGGGGAAGCGCTCCGCCAACAGCAAAAGGAGCGCGCGGGCTCCGCCGCCCTGGTTCCGCGTCCCGGGGCTCCAGCGCAGACTCGGGTCCTGGACCCTGGCCGCTGCCTCCTCCTCCGGGTTCCACTGGCTGCTCCCCGGGTGCAGCTGTGTCAGAAGCAGCAGCGCCAACAGCGCCTCGCGTCCGGCCATTCTCATGGTGCCACCGGCCCTGGACACACGGGAGCAGCTCAGGGTGAGGTGCGCTTGGAGCAGTTGCAGGTGGCACCACTCCCCTTCCCGCGCACGTCCAGCGTCCCCGCCGGTCCCCTTCGGCTGCCGCCCAGTGCCCACAACCTTCCCTGCAGCCCCGGCTGCTGCCCAGTCCTGTGCCACCCTTTCCTCTTTCCCTCCCTCCCTCCCTCCTAGCGGTCCCGGTAGGTGAGCGGAGTGCCAAGTCCTGGTGCTGAGGGAGTCCGGGAGGACGTTCTGAGAGCCACTCACAGGTTGCGGGAAGAGCGTCTGCACAGTGCAGGACGGAGGTCCAGTCTCTGTCCCTCGAGGCGAGCTGATAGCGGGCGCCTTGGGAAACGCGGGGTCTGTCCCGGGACCGCGGCCAGCCTTATATAGCTCTCCGACAGCTCCGACTGACGTCAGCGAGAAGCATGCACTGATTGTAGAGCAATGACGGTCGCAGCTTGGAGTCCAGCGGGTTTCGAGACCCCAAGGGGCGCGTCTCTGGGGCTTGCGCTAGCAGCGACAGCGGACTCAAGTGAACAAGAAGCTGGCTGGGGCGCAGAGATTTCCCTGGGAGCCATGAGAGAGAGTCGTTCACCACTTAGAACAGTCAGCAGTGAGTAGGGCCGGTCTCCAAACCGGACTCGTCCGGATCGCCACTCTCCTTTGGCACAGAAAGGGTGGCTGGGTTGGGGAGCTGTCCGTGGTGCTGGCTGTGCCCTCTGCCTCCAGAGGGGTCAGCCGCATTGGCAGAGTGCTGTGCTGCTCAGACCCACTCCCTTGCCCCAGCTACCAGCTCTGTAAACTGAGGCCCTCAGGATAGCGCAGCGGGCACTCAGCCATCACCATGGTACCCACCTAAGAGGCAGCTGAGGCAGGCTGAGTTGGCCAGGATTCTTGATCTTATTCCAGCCCCAGGATTTAAATTCTAGGGCTGACTGGGGCACCAGAAAAAAAGGTTTCTGGCCTTAGAGTGCTTTTAGACCATAAAAAGCTGATCCATCTGTTTCTGAGTTTGTCCCAAAGTGATAGTTTAGCCAAGTTAATTTTTCTCCTGGGAATCACAGCAGCAGTATTATTACTGTATCTTTGACTTCAGGTTAAGATCATTTGGTAGAAAGGAAGCATGGTGTCTTAGTCCATTTGAGGAGCTGTGACAAAAAAACACACACAAACTGGGTGGCTTATAAACAAGCATTTATTTCTCACAGTTCTGGAGGCTGGGAAGTCCAAGATCATGGTGCCAGTGGATAGTGTCTGGTGAGGATCTGATTAATGGTTCATAGATGGCACCTTCTTGCTGCATCTTCACGTGGCACCTTTTATAAGGATACTAATACCATAAGGGCTCTGCCCTCATGACCTTCTCACCTCCCAAAGGTCCCACCTCCTAATACCATCACCTTGGACATAAGGTTTTTCACCATATGAATTTGGGGGTTATACAAAAATTCAGTCTATAGGGTATGGGTTCAAGTTTCTATTCTGCCACTAATTTGTGGCGTGGACAGGTCGCCTCACTTCTATGGACCTCAGTGTCCTCATCTGTAAAAGAAGATTGGGCTTGGTGGTCTCTACGCTTCTTTCCACCTCTAGAAATTTTGACTCCCCAGTATTTTTCTGTTGGGTTTTACTCATTGCCTCTGCAGATTCCAGATTACATTTTTATAACATATTCATGGACGTCCACATAAAGAGTTTGAGGAGATCCCCAAAGAACTGGAGCTACACTAGGGCCAGGAATGGTTAGAGAAACAAATGTATCAATGAAGAGTGGGGATAAATGGCACTTGCTGGGATATAGGAATAAACTAAAGTTGCCAAGATCATATGGTTCAGCAAATATTTATGGACTGCCTACTATGTGGTGGGCATAAGACCATTATAAAGCTTTTCGTGAATTCAAAAGGAGTCAGTTTACACTTTAGAGTGAAATGGGTCATTTCACAGTGCTGACTCCACTAAATTCTGACCAGCAAACGGATCCCCTGAAAACTAGTGTGCCCACTTTGAGGAGGACATCTGACCATTCCAGGGTCAAGCTGCATCACTGCAAGGCAGAAGCAATGGAGCGAGGCAAGCTTAGAGCTGATGTGCCTTCCAGGACAGGTAGGAGTTCCAGATAACAGCAACACACTGGACAACGGCCAACCTAAGGAACAGGAATGGCATCCTGAAGAGGGCGGATAAAGAGAAAGCAAAGGGGAAGAGACAGGAGAGTGTAATGAAAAAGGGTGGGACTATCTCTGAGAACATCCACGTTTAGATCTCCTTCCTCCAGCCCTCTCTGGAGGGGCGCAGACCAGAGGACGACCAGCTCAAGGCCTGGTGCTGTCCCAGAGCTGTCTCCTGCTCAGAAGCCCAAAGAGAAATACCCCCAGCAGCCCTCTTGCCTTGCATGGCTGTTATTCATGCCCTGTCTGGGCTCCTAGACGCCCGTATCTGTCCACCTTGTACCAGCTGGGATCTCATCTTCAAAAACATACTGCCATTGAAAATAGCACCTTTTTCTCTTTATTTTACCTTGCTTTAGTTTCAAAGACTGTTGCAAGGACCTACTGTTTCAAATTTGGCTCATAAGTCTATATTCCTTTTAGCTATGGTATTCATGCATGTTTTGACCATGTCCCCTCTGAAGAGTTTCATACTTTTCCTGGGTCCAAAAACCCCCTCACCTCCAATAATCTGAACTACTCATCTTCAGTTCTACCATATTTTTTTAATTGCAGTTTCAGCAACTACCTTTATTATTAGGGTAAAAGAATACTTTGCAGTGGACTAACCTGACCAGTAGACTAACCTAACCTACATGGCTCTTTGGTCTACCTTTCTGTCTAATCTAGGCTGCAGCCCCTAGGCACTGTCCCTGCAGCAAGTGTAGAGAGCTCAGGTGGGATGGAGCCAATGGTTGTGGAGCAGGATCCTCCCTAGGAAGACGAAAGGTCAGTGGGAAAATACTCCAGGACAGGTGCTATAATGAGTAAGAGGTTCTGAATAAAATGGTAGGTGTCTAGGAGCTCTGATCAGGGGCTCCTAGACGCCTGGGGGCGTCTAAAGTAGCTAAGGGTTGAGAGAATCACTTTGTCTACAACTGTTCATAATGTGGCTCTCTCTCGAAGAGAGATCTGCCATACCTGTAATGAAGGGGAACCAGGTAGAAGTTGGCTAGCTGCACAGCAGGCCAGAGCTACAAGAGAGAGGAGGTAAATGTTAGGGGGCTGCCTCCATCACCCAATCCCAGACTCACTGCCTTGCCTGCTCTTCCTCCAACTGCTGTAAACAAAAACAAGTTGAACAACTGGGTGACTGCTTTCCTGAGTGTGCTGCCTGCACTGGGAACGAGAGAGGAATCCCAACTAAGGGGTTCCTATGTCAGGAGGACCCGCCATCCCTGGGGACTTCTGGACTCAAGGAAGCAGAACAGGCAGTGCAGGTGTCAGCTCTTACGTAGTAATTGGTGATGAGAGCATCAGGATAATCCTAAGGAGACAAAGGAGGAACAAATGAATGCTTGCGCTTCCAAGCAGCTCCCACCTCCCAGTCCTGCCATTACATACTTCTGTTCAAAGACTGCACTCCTGCACCACACCTCCTTCAGCTCCTCCCCTCCAGAGCAGGGGACTCTACCTGCACATCCACCTCTCCCATCCCCATGAAGTCTGCCTCATTCCCCTGGGCATGCCAGCTGGACAGCCAGAGTTCTTCCCCACACCTGCCCAACTCACCCGCTGGAGTTTGGCCCAATTGTCCTGGGCTGACAGTCCATTGAGTGTCCCTACCAGTGGGAGGAAACAGCCTAGAAAACACGGGGCAAAGGCCCCCTAGGGAGTAGAAAGGAAAGTGCTGTGAGCACCTAAACCCCACCCTCCCCCAACACAGCTCACCCTGCCCAACTTCCTTTTTCCTTCTGCTCACCTGATCCAACAACATCTTCTTTAGAGCATCGGCCTTGGTGGTGCCAGGGATGAGCCGGTCCAAAACCCTGTACCAGCCTCCTATTACAGGGCCCTGAAAGTAAACCCCAGGGAGGGGACCAACTAGCTTTTACATCACAAAGCTCTTCCCCCAAGCATTAGAAACCAAATCCCAGGGCAAGCATACACTCAGTTTGGCTTAGATTGTGAGAGGCCAAGGGAAACAAACCACTATCCAATCCACCAGCAGCCCTGCTGTGAGCAGAACTTACCACAAAGCCACAGCCCAGAGAGACCATGGTCAGGGTCCGGCTAATCTGGTGTTTCCGCACACCTTGCCTCTCCACCAGCTGCTGTGAAATAACGTCACCCAGGCCCATCAGGGACCCTGTGCAGGGTACACAGATATTGTCAGGACACCTCCAGGGATGGGGCTGCCACTCCAAGGAGGTAGATAAGTCTGTTGACTGAATGAGGCTCTGGTACTCAGGGCCCAAGGGCTTAATTCTGGGACAAATGACAAGTCCCTTGCTGCTGCTTTCAAGCTCTCCTCTCCCAAGGATGGTGACACCTCATGTGTATACTGTTAGAAACGGATGAGCAGCCTTGAGCAGGCCAGGGCCCAAGAACTCTGCATTGAGCAATGAAGGGAAGTCACAGTCAGAAACTGAAGCTAGAAGAAGGAGAATCTAAGGTACCAGGAGCTGAGAACTACAAACTGTCAGAATTAGAAAAGCCTTCCAGATAACTTAGAGGCATGGAAAGAATGGTTTTATTTTAGAGGTCTGGAAATAAAGGTCCGCAATCTCACATAACCACTAAGTGGCAAAGCCAAGGCAAAAACCAGGCGGTTTGATTTCCTAGACAGTATTATTTCCAAGACACCACACTATGAATAGGTTGTGTAGAATGGTAAGGAACCCTGGCTCCTCCCTCCCCCCACCCCAAGGCAAGACCCTGGTCAATGTCCTTCACCTTGGTCTTGGGGCCTCTAATTGTGGATAACAGCAAGAATAATTCTTTTTCTAAGACATGAGTGTTCAAATGGTCCTAGTTAGGAAGATGACTGGTTGAGCTGGTAAGAGTCCCTACAGGAAGGAGTCCTGGCCACCTCTTAGCACAATCAGGCAAACCCAACTTCCCCATTCACAATCTCAGATTGAGCTGACAATAGGTATTATAGTCATTTCTCCCCCAAGCTTTTGCATCCGCTTCCCCTCCCCTCACTTGCACGGATACCCAGCTTTAAGCAGCCCTTGTCAGACACCCATACCAGAAACCAAGATCTAAATCATCACTATTTACAGAGTCCCCTGTCAGTCATGGTGGTGTGATGGTTTCTAGCAAATACACACTTATATATAGGACTGCTTGGGAGTGACCGTATGATCTCCAGCTCGCCTGTCCATCTCACTGAGTAATGAGAGTCCCCCTCCAGCCCCGGAGCCACCACTGTCCTTGTGCCCTCAATTAGCACTGGGCAAACACATCCTTCAACCCCTTTCCTTGGCCCAGAGCTGGCTCTGACGTCTGTGCTGGCTGCACACTCACTGCTCTTCCCCCACACCCTCTGTGCAGCCCTGCCCCTGAGCAGCCTAGTCAGAGGCAGCTGGGCAAGGCTGAGAGCTGGAGCTGGGGCTGAAGCTGGGACACCTGTAGGTGACTTAGGCTGCTGGTCTCAGCTGCTGGCACTCCCAGCCATGGAGCAACTCTGAAACCCCCAGCACACTCATCAAGGCAGCCCTGACTCCTCTTCCTGAAACTCCCACAGTGGTAGAGGTCCTCCCAGAACAACCTCCCGGAGGGACATGGACAGAATCCTGGACACTTCTGTTCTCTCATCCCCAGCCAAACCTAACTAACCGAGCCCCTGGCAGGTTAAATAAGCCAAGGAAAAATGCCAAATGTATTGCCCCAAACAACAGGACTACTCTGGGAAAGGGCATAAAGAACTCTAAGTCTAGTCCTAAGTCTTGCCCCAAAGGACCGCAGGTCAGGCTCAAGGTGTGAGGAACAGTTGACCAAGGGAAGGCTTGCTCCCCCTAGTTAGCACTTAACTCCCTATGCCCCTCCCTGACAACTTGGGGTCACCAGCTGCACTCCCAGGCAGGGAAGGGAGCTGCTGTGTCCATGCACAAAGGGAAGAGTGACCCTGAGAAGTCCCGGGAGGGTGGAACAGAAAGGCAGGCACTTATTAAATGAAAAGACTAACAATTAGACATTCTACTTCAGCAAGATGTTTCGAGTTTACAAAGGGCTCACATATCTAGTCCTCACAAAAGGTCTGGGAGGTAGGGGTCACACCTCTATTTAATGTCTTTGAGAGAAGAGGGACTTTGTAAGAAGTGGAGCTGGAGCCTGAACCCAGGCCTTCTCTCAAGGAGGAACAGGAGGCCATGGAATTCCCAGAATAGGCTGAGACTTGGGCTTAGGGGCCAGGGGAGGCCAAGAGACTCCTGTGGCTCCTATTCACAGGGAGTTCCTGCCTGAACCAGGCCCCAAAGGCCTGCATATCACAGACACTTCTCTTTTTTTCTCCCCCAACTGTGAGACCATCTCTGTTCCTTGTCACCTGTGGGGAGTACAAGCAGCAATATTCCTGGGAAAGAAACAGTCACAAAGAGAGGTGTGTGTTTTCATTCTTCATGCTTGCCAACTGTCACACAAGCTAAAGGCAAAGCAGAAATGAAAATCGAAGTCCTAACTTCTAGCCTCATAGTCCTGGAGGCCTGCAGCCTTTGAAAAAGATAAATTCCAGGCCCCCAAATCATGCACATCAACTGAGAGATACCAAGTGAAAGGGCAGCAGGAGTAGGTGGTATGTAGTTCTGTCCATTTCAGACAGAACAGGACCCAGAGGTTCATCCTCTGCCCACAAATCATCGGGCCCCTGGATTCAACAACTCCAGGGTGGTCTATGGCTTTGGTCCCAGTGTAGAGGAAGGCCTGCATTTCTGGTCCAGGTGATTGTTTGAGCAGAAAATGCTGACATTCAGATTCCTTATTCTGTCTTCCCCAAGCCCAGGTTCTGGGAGCCCTCCTAGGCATATTTGGTCTCGATCTTCCAGTGCTCTGGCTCCCCTTTCCTTGGACTTGTTTCTGGGGAGTTGGGGCTGGAGACCTGCAGACACATACTGCCTGAGCCCTGATGGGGCAGGGTGAGGGGCTGCTGGGCAATGATGCCCCAATGCCAGGCTGGGCGCAGAGCCCAGCAGGCAGACGCTGGCGCGGGCGTGACATCATACCCCTGGGTAGGTGCCAGTTCTCATGCCGTCACTCCCGACCGGATTCAGCAGAGTGGGGGCAGGTAGGGGAGAGCCTACCTCTGAGCACAGATGTAACTGGGACCACCCCTCTGTCCACTAGTGGAAAAGCCCCAACTTCCACACCCTCTTCCTAGGCATGGGTGGAAATAAGTTCCCTACTTTGTTCCTCTCCGGGCCTTATGCATGGAGTCTTAGATGTAAGAAAAAGTGTTAATAGAAGAGAACAGGCTGAGGGGCAGAAAGCTGGAATGAAGGGCAGGAAGAGTGTCCTTGAGTACAGGAGACCTGAGTTGTCAGGTACAGCTACTGGCACGGGGCCAGTGGTGCCGTTGACTCATTCCTCCCCAGAAGTCTCCAGCAATTAACTAGCTGCCTGGCATAGGGGCTTGGTCTGGCAGAGCCCAGAGGGAGCTGGACCCACAGTGGAAAGAGAGAGTGCATCCTCTGGGATTGGTCTGAATGTCCTCCGCATTCCTGACCTGGACCTATCCTATTGCTAGAAAATGAGACAAAATGGAGGTCCTGCAGTTTGTCAGGTGTCCAAGCCCAGACCAACTGGGGCTACACTCAGCATTCAGAGCCCCCAGTAGTCTCAAGGGCTGGCAGTGCATTGGCAAGTGCTCTAGCTTCTAATGCCAGCTCCACCACTGACGATGTGAGATCTCAGTGCATGTCACCCCCTTGCCTCAGTTTCCTTCCATGTAATATCAGGGGATGGACTGAATGAGCTCTTACATCCTGGCTTAATTCAGACTCCAGGGAAAACAGTGTCTGCAGAAGCTCAGCGGTTCCCACAGCAGGACCAGGGTGGCCTAAGATGGATGGACCTGGGCCTTGGGCCCTCTGAAGGCTAGAAAGGCCCTCAAGAAAGGATGGGAGGCTGACTCAAATTCTGCAAAGCACACAGCAGACCTTTGCCCAGGCTGCCCAGTTCCTGACTTTGGCTTGGACCAAACTGAATGTATCAGACAAACTTTTGAATCATTTCAGATTTTCTTGATTTACTCATCTCTTACTCCAGCCACTACTGCTAATCTATCAGTCTGATAGATTCTTGCCTCTGGCCTATGCCACACCTGGGGCTGCACTGTTGATGCTTTACTTGGGGACTATGCATGGGGCGTTAATAATCCACATGGTGAACCTTTAGCCAATGTGGGATGGCAGCTGGTGGGTAAAGGTTTCTCCTTTTCTCCAGGAAAGACTACTCACCTGTGTAGTCCTAAGAGGCATTTCTTTCTTTTTTTAAATATCTTTATTGATTTCAGAAAGAGGAAAGGAGAGGGAGAGAGAGAGATAGAAACATCAATGATGAGTCATTGATCGAGCCCACAACCCGGGCATGTGCCCTGACCGGGAATCGAACCCCAATTGCCTGGATCCTAGGTCGACACTCAACTGCTGAGCCATGCCTGGCTGGGCCCTAAGAGGCATTTCAAAGAGCTCCTCAGTCAGTTTTAAGGGATTGAGCAGCCAGGTGCCCTAAGCAGTGTACAGTTTAACAATGTATCCTTATATTAGCTCTTTCTCCTCCATCCCCTATGGGAGTCCTTCCTAAACCCTTACAAAGTACTTGCACAGAAGCTTCAGGCTCAGCTTTTTGGAGAACCAAGGCTAAGATAGTGGTCCATGTTCAGATTTCTTTTTATTGATTGATTTTAGAGAGAGAGAGAGAGAGAGAGAGATGAAGTGAAAGAGAGGAAGAGAGAGAGAAACATTGACTTATTGTTCCACTTATTTATGCTTCATTGGTGCCCTGAAAGATCAAACCTGCAGTCTTGGCGTATTGGGACGATGCTCTAACCAAATGAGCTACCTGGCCAGGGCTCATGTTCAGATTTCTGGCAAGTGAAACAAACCAACCGAAACACTACTATAAAAAGAATAGCTTGCTGTGCCCTGGTTGCCAACACTCAGAACACTCCCGGCAACTCCTGGAGCCTTGAAGTTTATTAACATTTTTAAATCTCTAAAGCCCTTTCCCAGAGATACTCTCTATACTGACTGTGAGGTCATACAACTAAACTCAAGTTCTAAATGGGGAAACTGAGGCTCAAAGAGGTTTACTGACTTGTTCATGCAGCTACTCCTAACTATGGCTCTGAGATTCAAATCTTGGTCTTCTAACTCCAAGTCTGAAATCTCTATTCTGTTTTCCAGTGTGATGAGCTACTCCATGGACCTTTAGGAACTACTGTGCTGGAATCTAAAAACAGCTCAGTGAGCAATTTCTACTTCCTCCGTTTATTTTTAGTTTGACTCAAATACACTAAGCAGCAGGAAAGAAAAAGTCCGAAAGGTTTGGAAAAGTCTGAGAAAAGTGCTACCTAGAGGTTGCTTCGGGGCTGAGCTGCCTCAGGAAGACTATGGGGGTGGAGCCACAGGGCTCTAGCATGGACAGACAAGTACCCCAGTTCAGCTACATATTTGCACTTGGGCCCCTTGGAGCTCCAAATCCTGCTCTTGTCAGCTGCAGATGCCTTGAGTAGGGAAACACAAGGACTATCCTTTCCTCTCTATTCTTAATGGCCAAGAAGGGGAACCTTCCTTCCGGCAGTCAGGGGCCCTGAGGGAATCAGGCTGGGCAAAGGGCCCAGCGTGTCAGTTCCCATCACAGCCACACAGTCCAGCATGAGTCACCACACACGCAGCCAGGTGAGTCATGCAGGCTGACGGACACTCTGAGGACAGGACATAGGGTGGTTGGGCACAGGAGGCTGGAGAGGGGTCTAAGGAGGGACAAAAGAAGCCATCTTTTGGCCAGTCCCCCAGTGAGGTTTCTAGTGCTGATGTGAAGCTATTCCAGTAACAGGATCGCTGTTCCATCCTGGCTTTCAATATACCCACCCCTTTCAACAGTCTCCCTCTCAGAAGCACATCGTCCTCATTAGGATCCTGTTCCCTCCCTCTAAACACAGGTAAGACCCCATCTTAACCCGATCAGTCTTGTATTGCTCCAATACTCATAATCCTTATAATCCTTCCTCCTATAAAACTTATTTATCTCTGTGACATCCTTTCTCACATTAGCTAATCTACAAAATGAAAATGGGTAACAAATGCAGGTAAGTCACTGGGTTAGGTTACCTTTGTAAGGTTGCTCCTCAATCACTGGATTTGGAGTAAAAATAAATCCTTGATTAGTATATTGTCTGGGAATGCATACATAGGTAGTAAAACCGTAAGAAAAGCAAGTGATATAAACAAAACTCAGGAAAGTGCTTATCTCTTGGGAGTATGAATTAGGGAAAGGTGCACAAAGGATCTCAACATCGGGTACTCATACAGGAGTATTCATTTTTAATACTAGTAAACTGTACATACAGCCCAGCTAGCATGGCTCAGGGGTTGAGCACTGCCCTATGAACCAGGAGGTCGAAGTTTGATTTCCAGTCTGGGTTTCAGGTTCGATCCCAGTAGGGGGCATGCAGGAGGCAGCCAATTGAACATCCTCTCTCATCATTGATGTTTCTCTCTCTCTCTCTCTCTCTCTCTCTCTCTCTCTCTTCCTTCCTCTCTCTGCTGATATATTTAAAAAAACAACAACACCCACACACAAAAGAAAAACTGTACATAACTCTCTTAATCATTCTTTTGTATGTTAAAATGTATTTCACAATAAAAAAAACACTAAGAAAAATAAAATGGGATAATAATCCTGATTCCAGCATTTATTAGGTGTGTAATCTAATGGAGACTCAAGTAATCCTAGCTCAGAGACCTTTGTGGGGATTCTAAGAGACAATGTGTGTGAATGTGATTTGCACACTGTAAAAGTTAGAGGAATGTTTGCTATGATTACTTTTCTAAGTTAAGGCCTCCTAGGGAAATGTCTTTATCCTGAAGGGATGACTCCTCAGCTTTTTGAGGACTTTCAGATCCTACTTTACAGCTAGGCCAACTATGCATATCCCTTTCCTTAGGGGTCCCTACCCTCCAAAACAGACTGGAGATAGCTTGGGATGAGAGACAGCCAACTCTTCAAGGGGGGTGAATAGAAGCAAAAAGTGAGGGAGGTGTGGTGGAGCAAGCTTCTGCCTTCCAAATTAGCCTACTCTGGTCCCACTCAGGTCCCAGAGGGGCACTCACCAGCTGTCAGGACCTGTACTTTCCACGGGTGAGCAGTCAGGGCCCGCTGGTATGCCCGCCAGAGTGCCATGTTTCCTGTCAAGCCAAGAAGAGAGGGGTTCACCCCCAATGCCCCTCACCACAAAGAGGCGCTGACCCTCCCTGTGCCACTCTCTCTCCCCGTCCCGCTTTCATTACGTCCGTCCTAAAGGGCCTCTGGAGGGATGCTTCCTGGGCAGCTTCCTGTCACTGGGTCGCCTGTGGGTGACTATGAAATTCCGGTGGCTGCCACCCGCCATCCCACCCCGAGCCCTGAAGCAGGGCCACCGGGGGCCTCGGTCCCTACGAGGCACTCAAGAGGATAGGTTTGCTCAGGCCTTCACCCAGAGCCTGGTCGGTCCCCAGATTCAGACTCTTAGTTGGAACCAGCCCGCATCCTTCCTGAGTCCAGCTCCACATCAGAATTACCACCTGTCACTCCAGGGCCTGGAATTATCACGTGCGCTGTGGGCGTTCGCGGAGCGCGGAGACTTAAGCCGCGGACGCCGGACCCCGGGCTACTCACCTGGGCGCAAGCTCAGCCCTCCCACGTGACCTACACGGGAGGCGGAACTTCCGCCGTGAGCACCGCCCCTTCCGCCTGGCTAGCCAGCCGGCTTCCGCCTGCAACCAGCGCAGTAATGGGAGTGAACTGATTCATCACTGATACTCTCGGAGAGCAGCTCAGCTTGGTGGGAGCGACTCGTTTTCCAAGTTGACTAAGTCCCAAGCCAGCCTTGGTGTGGGCCTCGCCTGTCATACTTCCCACCTTCGTCAGACCCCGGTCGCCTTCTGCCCCTTTGCCCCGATGCTTCTCAGCCTGGATGGACCTTTGTTGTTCCCGCGCCCCGGAGCTGGCCAAGGTCCTGACTTCTCCTCGGTCTCAGGATCAGTATGGAAACTATAAGCATTAGGTGTGCGTGTTATTTGTCTCTAGGTTCTTCACTAGCCTCAACTGTGAGTTCCTGAGTGGGTGGAATTGGGTCTTGTTCATACTTGTCGTCCTCATAGCAACTAGTTCAGTGCTTTATCCACAGTAACCTTTAGGAATGCTGCATAAAGATGACTCCCCAATATAAAGCATTGGGATTAGAGCCTCAGGAAGGTTAGGTACTGGTTTCTTAACTAGGGAGCTGGACAACCTTGGTCATCACTAGACTTAAGGCTCCTCATCTGTGAAATAAGGGGGTTGGCTCTGTTTAACAAACTGGGATCCAGTTTTACGGTTTATGTTTGTGAGGGTGGGTATCACTACAGATTCTTCATCTCAACTTGTTAAAAACTGTGTACTTATAGAACGAGCGACTTTTAAACAGAAGGGTGCACAACTAAAAGTGTTTGTAGCCCTGGCTGGTGTTGCTCAGTGGTTAGAGCATTGGCCACAGCACCAAAAGGTCTCAGGTTCGACTCCCAGTCAAGGGCACATACCTGGGTCTCAGGTTTGATCCACCTGCAGGAGACAACCAGTCAGTGTATCTCTCTCACATTGATGTTTCTCTCTCCCCATCCATCCCTCCCTTCCACTCTTTCTAAAAATCAATGGAAAAATATCCTCAGGTGAGGATTAACAACAAAAGTTTGTAAACCAATGGATTAGGTGATTTCCTAATTACCTTTTACTGCTCCAACATTCTAAAATTTTGTGAATATACTGCAATATCCTCCTTAGGGAGGTGGAAACTCCTACAAGATCCTTGGCAATAGATTTGTCAGCCTGGCAGCCTTTACTAACTATATCCAGGGAGCCCACACTTCAGGAGACAGCCATACCTGATTTTTTTTCAGGCTCTCTACCTGGCTAGCTCCAGCCCCAAATTTACTCAACTTTTATATGATTAAGGCAGGGAGAATCCTGTCACAGATACTGGAGAAACACAGTAAGGAAGCAAGAGAATTCAATGTCACAAACCTTTAAAAGCTTTTACAAGCAAAACACCACAATAGAGTGGATTTACACTAGTAAATAGACCAAATGTGGCAGATTGGAAAGTTGTACTCTGAAGTCAGACTGTCTAGGTTAAAATCCCAGCACCATCACTTAGTTATATGATCTTATTCAGACTGGTTAACCACTCAGATTCTTACCTTTATCAAGTAAAATGAAGCAATACCTACATCATATGATTAAGCAACATATGCAAAGTAACCTGAATTAGATCAAGTGCTTAAAAAACACTTGTTTATCCTTTCTTCCCTCTTGGGAACACACGGGAGAATAATTTTTACTGGAGAAATCTGGGAAGCTCCTTGGTGAAGGTGGAATTTGAGCTGGAACCTTGAATGATGAATAGGACTTGGGTGATGCTAGAAAAGGACACTCCCAGAGGAGGGACTAGTGTGAGAAAAGGCACAAAGGAAAAGTGCAGAAACCCATGGATAGTATAAAGTAGATATACTGGGAAGGAAGGTTAGAAAGGGAGTGGCCTAGAGAGAAAGGGTTTATCTTAGAGAAAGAGATCAAGGGCTGAAAACATCTCCCTGATTTTCTTTTGGAGGCCAAGATTGGGGCTGACAGCAGCAGGAGCAGGGTTGCCAGCACCCACTTACAGCCTCAACAGCATGGGTCCTCAGGTCCCATCTTTTTTACCACTAAAAGTGGGATTTCAATTCACTCAATGTCAAGGGACTACTGTGTAGAATGAGCAAAACTTCTCTGCAATGGAGGGCACTTCCCTATCAATCAGTTCAAAAAGAGAACTGGAACAACCTGAGCTGGATCACAATAGGATGGTGCAATACTTGGCTCCTTTGCACTGACGTGGGTTGTGGTTCCTCTGCTAATGGTCTGGGTTGCCTCCAGGTCTGCTTCCTCTTCTGCACAGGAAGGAAACTGAAGTACTTGATTCCTTTCTTAAAGGAGGTTTTCTGACATGATAAATTCCCTACACTTAAGAGGCAGAAAGCTATTCCCAGATATCTGGCTAATCAGTCGAGAGTGCCAGAGGGCTTTGTTCCAGGTAGGCACTACTCTCTACTCCCTTCAATAGCAGCTGGCTATGACTTTTTCTCTGTAATAGTTCCTGAAGTCATCTGATTACTTACCCCAAACCTCAGATTGTACTATTATACATTCCAAAACTATGGTTTGCCTATTTCTCATTGCTGGGATACATCCTTGCTTAGGGAGCAGTATTGCAGTCACTATGAGTCTGAAGCACCCCAAAAAAGGATTTTAACAAGATGAGCTGTAACAATACAGCAGGTCCTCAAATAACATTTCATTATAACATTGTAAGATGCCATAGGAACTTAAATCTTATTTATATCAACTCACCTATGATAAAACTGGTTTCATTATATGTCGTTTAAAGTCACAAAACCTTTTCCTGGTTGGGTTGCTCCGTTGGTTAGTGTCACCCAGATACATCACGGTTGCAGGTTTGATCTCTATAGTCAATGCACATACAAGCAGCAACCAATGAATGCATGCGTAAGTAGAACAAAGAAATAAATTTTCTCTCTCTCTAAAAATCAATACATAAAAAAAAAAAAGCCACACAACCTACTGATGATATTAAGTGTGGACTTACTATACATTACTGTTCTTGGGTTCTAAATATCTCCTATATATAGGGTTGAAATAAAGTAGCTAAAATGTTTAATAAGTTAACAATGTGAAAGTATCATGAAGGATCAAAAATCATGACGTGTAAAAGAATGGTTAAGGTAACTGAAGATATTTAATCTAGAGAAGAAAAGACTTGGGAAACACGATAGCTATTTTAAACACTTAAAAGGGCAATCACAGGTTAGAATGACTAGATTTACTAATACCCATGGTAAAATCTATAGAGGTATACTCTCTGACTGGATATAAAGGAAGATGTTTTAAAACATGACTGTCTAGGAGTGTTCAAGTAAGGTCAGATGACCAATGATCAGGAATATTTCCTAAGCAGGAGCAAGTAAGATCTGAGCCACTGTTCTATTGGTACTGTGTTTCTGGTGTTCCTCAGTTGAAGAACTATTATAAGCATCTTCAGTCCAATAAATTACTACCACCATCACCCCTCCCCCATGGGCTTGCATGTTGGTTACTCTAAACAGGAAGCTGGGAAGGCAGTAATATTGGATCCTGGAATATAGTCAGACAGACGCCTTCATGCAGATACTCTTTCCAGTTTTCCAAACACCCACTCACATGTGGTCTCAAAAACACCCAGTACCTTTACTTAGCTTTACTCACTTCACAATATGCTCAATATGAGCAATTTGACTCCCAAGCCTAGGTCAGGCCCGAGCGCTTCTTGTGGGCCAGTTTTAGGCGAAGGAACCTTGAGAGCTTGTGGAGGGCAAGCCCCCCCTGCCCACAGGGGGCTGTGATGACAGCTGAAGTCAATGGAAGGAGAGGTATCTAAGGAGTCCTGGACAGGCAGGTCTAAAGGTCCAGGCCTGGCAGCATCACTGTCCAAGAAGGCCCCGGTTCCTATGGTCTGTGCATGGGGGCCATTTGTTCTTGGCAGACTTCATTCCAAGGGTCCTGTGTGGAGCACGACTAGGGACTGGGCAGAAGACGATGGCTGGTTGGAGGGAAACCAGGCCCTTTAGTAGGGGAGGACGGTTGGAACACAGCACTGAAGTGGGCTCGGCTTTCAAGTTGCATACGGTGGCCCAGTGGGGAGGTGAGTCCACGGACAAAATGGATCCGAACCAGCCCTGACTGCCCCCCAGATACGAGCCATCCATAGGAGTCCAGGTTTGGGCTGAAACGTACCTGTGAAGAGAATAGAAAACAAAAGAGGTGCTCATAGTTGGTGTTTTAGGATGAGTCCTAGCTTGAGAGCGAAAAACACGTGCCAGAATCTGAAAGGATAGGACCAGGAGTGGGTGAGAGGTAGGAATGAGAAGACAATGAACAAAGTTAAGGTCTTAAAGATGAGTTGCCAGAGCTATTTTTCCTCCTAGCCCTCTCTGTTGCTTTTCATCTCCCATTTCATTGATCACAGGTCCAGAGTTGGAAGAAAAGGAGAGTGAAGGGTGGAGAAGCAGCAAGGTTCTTACTTTATGAATAGCCTCCAGCTGCAGCCTGTCCAGGCAGAGCTGAGAGTGCCCCTCTCCCTCCTGCATACGCAGCATTGGTTCTCTATGGAGCAGATCGTGGAATGAACCCTGGGGAGGGGAAGTATAATAGGAAAGAGACAGTGAGCAGCTTCTTAGTTTTGCATCTTTGTGCTGGAACTCTTTAGGATTCCCTATTATATAAGGAATAAGGTTTTCTACGTTTTCTAGTGCCACACCCATTCTCCTGGCCCCAATTTACCAAATCTGTATCTTGAAAGAGCAAGTAGTGATGATTGACCGTTTCGGCGTAAGTTCGAGCCTTGGGAGGGTTGAGGGCTCCAGATGAAGCAGCAGAATGGTCTCGACCTTCAGGACTATCCTGATATGGCATCAAATCTGCTTTATAGATAGGCTAGAAAGGAGACCATGAGATTAGGTTTTATAAGACTAGATAGAACGAAAGTAAAAGAGAGAAAATTGGTTTGTGGCAGGACAGACTTAAAGATGAATAAAGCAGTATGTTTAAACGTATGTGCAGATGAACTAGGGTAGGGAATATTATGTGCAACTCTGTACCAAGACTCCCAGGGATAATATCAGGGCTGGGAGATTTACAGTACTAATTTGGGAGGTCATGTGGATTAGGACCTAACAGATGGTACTGCATTAAATATTCATATACATACAAATCTTCGCTCTACAGGTCGCTTGACAGTTATTGGGTTCAGTGCCATATCAGGCAATATAGCTGCAATGAGCTCCCCCGATGTATCTCCTGCGGCTATTGTCCCAAGCCAGTCGGATCCTGAAAGACTCTAATAAGAGACAGATTTCTTTCATTCATCCATCCATCCATCCATCCATCCATCCATCCATCCATCCATCCATCCATCCAATTCTGTGAACCAGTAATAACTGCAGTCTCAGGGGGAAGAGACACACACACAAACAAAAATGAGTTTATCATAACCCACATCCCTGATGATACAGCTACCACACACCTATCTTCTTTTATCCAAAACTACAGTCTCTTCCTGACCACCACTAGGTGAGTAAATGAATCACTTTCCTGTGTAATGAAGATTTCGGAGAGGCTCACCCAGACAGTGCCTTTCCGAGGAGCAGTGAAGTAGGCCTTGAAACCAAGGTAACCAGCATCAATATAATGAATTCCACAGAGTCCATAACTATAAGAGAAAGAGAAAATGAAACCTTCCTTTTTCTAAGATTAGATTCATTTCTTCTCCCCATGTCCTTCCAGAATTCAAACTACCTCTGTGAAACAAGCCTCAACCCTCCTCTCCCCACAATAATCTGGCACACTTTGCACCCCAACCCCTAGGGTCTGTCCCCTGAGCTTCTCCTATCTCCACCCTGTCATACGAGGCATAGCAGTTGTCCTGAGCCACAGTGACACCATTGTAGGGGAGCAGCCAGGCCAGCTCTGTACTCAAGAAGCGCTTGATAGAGTTTATTGGTTCATAAGGTCGTCGAAGGTCCCAGAATTTGATTTTCCGGTCGCTCCCTGCAGACACTATGAAATGACTGTGGAAAGATGGAAGGTGAGGGAGAAGATCAAATCTAAACAAGTCTGAAAGAATCAGCTTGTCCCAGCTTCACCCCCCACCTCCACAACTCTCCTATTCCAACCTGTTGGCTTTGCACCACTGAAGGGTACGCACAGCCTGGTCATGGGCTAGGAAACACTGGAAGGGGTAGAGCTTCAAGGAGCCATCGGAGAGCCGTATCCGCTGCAGTGGCGAGTTAGTGGGAAGGTTCCAGAAAACCACCATGCCTGAGGTAGGGGCAGAATGTGTAGGTATTAAGGTAGGTTGTCTCTTCCTTGCTCTAATTACTTTCTCTTCTACGCTCAGACCTAATCCCCTATGAAATGACATAAGGATCATGATTAGCTAGTCAACATTCCCTCCACAGTTTAAAGACTCAACCTGATTTTCTTTTTAATATATCTTTATTGATTTGAGAGAGAGGAAGGGAGAGGGAGAGAGATAGAAACATCAATGATGAGCCACCCATCAATGATCAGCTACCTCCCGCATGCCCCTGATGGGACCAAGCTCGAAACCTGGGCATGTGCCCTGACTGGGAATCCAACCACAATCTCCTGGAACCTGGGTTGATGCTCAACCACTGAGCCACGGCTGGCCGGGCTCAACCTGATATTTTTAGTTCCAATTCTAAGTAACAAAAAAGTAATATCTTAGTCTGGGATCTGCAGTTGAAAGGTAGGTTGAATGCACTCAGTAGCCTCTACTTCCTACTAAATAAAAGTAAAGAGATTTTAAAAGAACATAAACCCTCTAGGACAGGGTTGGAAAACTATAGCCCATGTGCCAAACATAGCCTGATGCCTGGTTTGGTAAATTAAGTTTGACTGGAACACAGCCACACTCATTCATTTACCTAATGTCTATGGCTGCTTTCACTTTATAATGGTGGAGTTGAATAGTTCCAACAATAGCCAAAAACCCAAATAGCATAAAATATTCAGTATCTGGACCTTTACAGAAATATTTGTCAACTCTGCTCTAAGACAGAGAGAGCAGGCAAGGAGCCAAAAGCAACAAAATGTAGAGAAACAGAAAACAAACTAACTTGGCTGACCCAAAACAAGTTGACCCCTGACCAGGCTAGCTGTGGAGGTGGTAATAAAAAATGTAACTGTGATAAAAATAAAAGACAAACTAAAGAACAATAGAATTTAATAAATAAAATTTGGGAAAAAGATAGGTAGCTAAAACCTCTTTTATACATATACTCAGGAAATGTAGCACTTATGAACCTTTCTTGAAGAAACTGTATTGATAGTGAATTACAGCTAATCAACGTTAGTAATTCAGCAATGGAGGAGGAGACAGATGAAAGGACTGGTAGAGACCTGTGATCATTTCAAGAGAAAATCAAGATTAAATAACTTGGGAATTAAGACAGCAAAACAGTATCAAGTTTCATGTACCTTGATAATGTAAGAATAATATCACCAAAAGAAACACAATAAGAAGATGGTGGGAGAGATGATAAGAAGAAATATAAGAGTGCTAATTTTCTTACCTCCCCTTAAAAACAACCTAAAACCTCCAACTACTTAATGTTATTTGTAATCTTTTATTTTCCTTTCTAATCTTAAAAGTATCTTTAAGGAACTAATGTTTCTATGGTAAAGGAACATTTATTGGGAGCTTAGCTAATCTTTCAGCTTCACTCGTCTTTTTTTCTATAAAATTAAAGTATAATTAAATGTAACACCTTTTCATTAAAATCACCATGGAGTATGATCCCATTTCTTTTTATCTTTATATATGCATAAAGAACTGCAAGAAATCATGTTCATCTACTCATTTTTCTGAACAGAAAAATTCTACTTTTTTCCTTCTTTGTATTTTTTTTACATTGCCTGAATATTTATAACTATGTAATGCCCAACACTGAGCCAAAAAGGAAACAACTTAAAACAAGCCTAAAGAGCAATAATTCTTTAGGTTTTGTTTTGTTTTTACCATTATAGTATCCAGCAGCCAGGTGGTGATGGGGTCGGGTGGGCATCCAGGCCAGGCTAAGGCACTGACCACACTCAGAGGGGTCTGATGCTTGCACAGACCCCACCTGAAGGGTTGCCACACATTGTGCCTGCAGGGACAGAAGAGATGGGACTAGGGTTAGGGATACTTACTGTTTGGAACAAAAACTCAAATCAATGTTCAATTCAGCAGGAAAGGAAGATCTCTCAGAGTTAGAAAGAAACTTGTTATGGCATCAATAAGGGAGGCTCTAGAAGATGGAGTCTCGGGTAAGGCAGCAGATTCCATACTTACCTTATAGATGGCAGGCTTCATTGCATCTGTGAGGGAAAAAGAGCAGAAATGACACTCTGGATCCAGAGGACTGAGGTCCTAAAAGCCCTGCTCTTAGATCAGCACCCTGCCCTTTCAATAATGACCTTCCCTTACACTCTTATCTTTCTACCATCAAATGTACAAGTCCACCTCTCTCTGCCCCATCTTCTTTCCTCCTATTATACCTGATAGTATCCTTCTTATCAGAATGGCTAATCCCTCCACTCTGCTCCCTTCTCATCGTCTCCCACCTTTTCCAAAACTTTGCTCTTTGGTTACCCATTCACTTTCTCTCTCCCTACTAGGTTATTCTCACATTCACACATAAACACACACTATTATCTCCTATCTAAAGCAACCAAACAAACCCCTTCCTTTACCTCCAGCCACTACTCTGTTACATGTTCCCCTTCACAACCAAACTTCCTGAAAGAATTGTCTATCCATTCTATCTTTTCTTCCTCACCTCCCACCCCTCAAGCCACTCCTCCACCTGATCACCAAATATGGGCCTTCTCAGGGTTCAAACCTAGGTGCCCTCTTCTTTACTCAGTACAGCTGAAAAACAAGTAAATTCAACAAATAGGAGCTGCTTTCCCTGACCCCCTCCTCTTCTTGCTCATCTTTAGCTCTACAGTCTCTCCTTCACTTCACAACAGAGAGAGTGTGTTTCTATGTATGTGGAGCGGTGGGGACAGGAGAGGCTGAGGACAAGATTAGGGAGGAAAAGAGTATGGCAGGGGAGAGTGGCTCCATCTGTCAGCCTCAGCCTTTAGCAGCTCTTTACACAGCCAATTAACTGTGGCAGCCAAAGAGGCCTGAGAGTACAGGGGAAGAGGGAAGAGAGGGAGATAGAGGTAATGTGCTAAGAGCGCAGTTATAACTCTGCAGAAGAGTACTACTTGTGGGCTGCTGAAGAGAGAGGTCAAGAACAAAACATGTGAAGTCAGAATGGGAGCTGTGACTGTGTAAGGCTTTGTACTAGAGAGACTGGGCCTAGAGGAGTGCCAGGGGAGATGAACAGGTCCTATAAAGCTCTGGCCATGGCAACAGCAGCCCCATTCTCCTTGCTGGGCTACTCACCTGGGGGCTGCTGTGCTAGCAGGGCCTCAGGATGGGGCAGACTGAACAGCAGCACCTTCCCGTCTGAGCAGGCAAGAGCCAAGAGACCCAACCGAGGCAGGAGAGGAGCCTAGAGGGTGAGACCAGATCTGCGCTGAGGCTTGCTGCCTTCAGGAGCCTCTCAGAAAACTTCTGAGGTTCTGGTCTCTGAAAATATGATATGGAGTTACTAGAAAAAATGCCATCCACCACTCTCCAAACTCCATTCCTCCAACTCTGGGAATACCCAGGGTCTCTTTGTTCTGCCGCTGAGTCCCAGGGCCATCACACAATCAACTGGGAGGTACCTTCCGAGGGGTTCCTGGAAGTTCCCATGCTCCACTGGGGCAGAACTTGAGGTCCCAGATGCTGCCGTGGTCACAAGCAATCCCATAGACAAAGTGAGCCCTGTTGCCAGGACTGAGGAGAGAAACCATGCGAGGAGAATGGGTAGGAAGAAGGGGTCTAGGGCTGCCAGAGCCTATGTGCTCCCCTTATTTCTACCCAATCCAAGCCCTTTCCACCAACCCCAACCCTGCCCCTGCCCAGCCCCCTCCTTCTCTCCTCCTCAAACACCCTCCCATGGCAGTGTCCCAGCCCCCACCTCACCAGCTTTCTTGCTGCAAGGTCCCAAGGCCCCAGAGCTGGAGTAGCCCAGGACCCGAATGAACTTGGCTGAGTGGATGTGTCTCATTCATGTCAGGGCTGGAGAAAAGGGCCACGTACTGCGAGGCTGCTGCCCCCTCTGGCACTGGGCACCAGTCCAGAGCCCAGAGAGGTCCCCCTGTGAAGAAGGACACGTCCCAGCGCTCTGGATGTGCTGTGATCGAACTAAATCTAGGGAAAAATCAAAGATGGGATGAAAAAAGGAGTTAATAAAAGGTAATAAGAGCTTCATAGGTGAATGGATAAACTATGACACATCCAGACAAATGAAGTGTTATTTTTCACTAAAAAGAAATGACTTATCAACCCATGAAAAGACATGGAAGAACCTTAAAAGCATATTACTAAGTGAAAGAAGCCCATCTTAAAAGGCTAATACTATATGATTCCAAATATATGACATTCTGGAAAAGGCAAAATTATGGAGACAATAAAAAGATCAGTGATAGCCAGAGGTAGGGGTGAAAGGGATGAATAGGTGGAGCACAGAGGACTTTCAGGGCAGTGAAAATACTCTATGTGATTCCATGATGATAAATACATGCCATTAGATATTTGTCCAAGCCCACAGAATGTACACACCAAGAGTAAACTCTAATGTAAACTATGGACTTTGAATGATTATATGTCAGTGTAGGTCATCAATTCTGCTGGAGGATGTTGAGAGTGTGGGAAGCTATGCATGTGTGGGGGCAGGAGGTATATGATAAATCTCTGTCTCTTCCTCTCAATTTTTCTGTGAACTTAAATTGCTCTAAAAAGTTAAGTAAAAAACAAAAGATAATGAGGACAGAATGGGAGCTCCACTGGGAACTAGTATGAACTGGCTTCAGCAAGGGCCAGAATATCAAGAACAGTGTACAGGTGAGAACAGTCCTAGCCATCGATTGTATCTTCCTCCTTTCCCTCCCAAAGTCATTCTAGTTCTAGCTCACCTTCAAAGATGTCAGGCTGTGCATTCTGGTTACTACAGAGTTCTTTCTAGGGCCAGTCTATCGGGGTCTATCTGAGTGGATATGACCTTGTAAACAGGTTTGACCCTCAATCTCCCAAGCTTCCCTCAGTCTCCAGCAGCAACAAGCACTACAAATTAGAGTGGACCGACCAGATCTACCCAGGACTCCAATCCTTGGAATCAAATGGACCAGCATCAAGGGAAGAATAGGGCCAATCTGTCTTCCCTTTCAACATTCACTTTTCCTATTTCTGTCTCCTAGAATCAGAAAAAGCGAAGCAATCCCTTTTGATGCAGTCTTCACCTGTTAATTCGATAGAGTGTGCCATCTTCAGGAAGTCCTTCACGTTGTACAGAAAACAGTGGCGACTTCTCCTCCTGGGGCAGGTAGGGAGCTGCCTCACTAGGGGAAGGCAAAGGGAACAACAGCCTGAATCTGGAAGAGTTTCTCCCATCCCAGGATTCCCATCTTAGATCTAGAGTCCTCTGTCATCCTTCTGTCTCCAGTGGTATTGCCCCCTCTGCTTCAAAGATGTCCCTTCAACTTACAGTTCAGATAACAGGTGCCACTTCCAGGCTAAAGGAATCCATTCTGCAAACTCCCAGTATGAATGCTTCTGTTCCCGGCTAGAGAAACAAAGGAAGCATTAATAAAAGAGGAGATAAATTCTAGAATAGTGCTACCCAATAAAACTTTCTGTGATGATGGCCCTGACTGGTATGGCTCAGTTGGCTGAGTGTCATCCCATGCACCAAAAGGTTGTTGGTTTGATTCCCGCTCAGGGCACATGCCCAGGTTGCAGGCTTGATCCCCCGTAGGGGGTGTGCAGGAGGCAGCTGATCAATGTTTTGCTTTCAAGTCGATGTTTTTCTCTCTCTCTCTCCCTGGGGGAAAAAAAATCAATTAAAAAAAAATCTTCTGTGATAATGGAAGTGATCTATTATCTGTCCAATACACGAGCTGCTAGCTGGCAACTTGAAGTGGGGCTAGTGCACAGAAGAAACTGGACTTTTAATTTTAAATGGCCACATGCAGCTAGTGACTACCATATGGGACAGCACAGCTCTAGCGCTCTTGCCTCTGGAGTAGTGCCGTTTATGAATGTCTTCAGTGTTCTGCCCTGAGAGTGCCTTCTGTCTTTCCCACAGCCCTGCTTCTAGATCATACTTTGCATTCCACCACCACCCTTTCACCCCCGGGGCCCCATTCCCCAAGCCTCACAGGTCCTTGGTGAGATGGAGGCACTTCCAAACAGGAGCCATGATGTGATTTGATAAGCCATTGGGAGCCATTCCCCGGCAGTGTGACTTCTGCTTCTGGGGATCAAATGAAGAAAGTGTAAGGGAGAGAATTTTATAGGCCAGAGAAAGTCCCCAGGACACAGCTTTGCGAGCTTTTACTTTTCTTGGCACCACTTCCTCTCTAACCTTGGCCCTACCAGAATCTTAAAAGATTTACGTTTCAACCATTACAATGACTTCTCCACCTTCTGCTCCTACTCCTCCACCAAAACTGCAAAATCTGTTATCTATTTTTTGATCACTTTCCTTGACATCTCTGCACTGAATTCAGAGGACTTCCACTTACTTCTTGACACTCCTGCTCTACGGAGCGGTCTCTCCTTACTCCTCCCACCTTCCTAATATTCCTTTGCTCACTCTCCCTCCTCATAGAGTTGGTCCATGATGATATTTCCCAGAAACGTTCTGACTTCTTCTCAACCCTCTACACATGCACTTCTGGTAATTTCACCCCATATTCCATCATTATACCTGATTATCAAGTTTGACTACCATCACCTGTTTATCAAGTTTACATTTTAGTAAACACAAACTTTACTAGGTTTCAACTTTTCTACAGACTCTAGGCCCATACAGTGGTGTCAAGTAATATTAGAGCCTGAGGCAAAAGGAAAATCGGTAATACAGTTCCTGTCTTTACTTAAAATTTGGTACTTTGGTCATTATAGATTTCTTAAATTAGTTTAGATTTTTTAAAATGTTGTATCAAATATTTATCTTTATTTCTGAGGTATTTGGTGCTCCCTTAAATGTTGCATTTAAGACAAGTAAGGCACTGGTCCCATATACCACATGACTGGTGACCAGATGTCCCCAGGATGGCCCATGGACCACAGGCACCTCCAAGTCAACAGTCAGAAAGTGAGTGCATCACCTGCCCTGGCCATCTTCACCCCTCCTGAGTTCCTCACACTTCCTGTGCTCGCAAGTTCAGTGTATGAGAATACCATCGAGGCTGGAAACTCCTGCTCCTTCCTTTCCTACAACTCTCAAGTGCTGTTAATTCTCTTATAGTCCTCTGGAATCTGTCCCCTCCCACCCCTGCCCTCGCCTTCTCTTCTGTCATTGCTGGAGTCAGGCTCTCAGTATCTCTCACCTAGATCACTGAGGCTGTCTTTTAACTGTCAACTGCAAATTGACCTATTTTCCTAACTGACCATGTTATTTTTCTACCTAAAAACCTCTGTTGTATAGTTTCTATCTGGGATGACGAAAAGGTCTTGGAAATGGATAGTGATGACAGTTGCACAACATCGAGAGTGCGCTAAATGCCAGCGAACTGTACATTTTTAAATGATGAGTTTTCAGTGATGCGTATTTTACCACAATTAAACACACGCCTTTGTTGGCTCCTACCAATCTTAGTCCTTTTGTCCTCTCTAGTTCTACCTCCCCACCACTTTACCTCAGGCCTCATACTGCAGCCTAATCAATTTGCCTTCCAAGACCTAGTTGAACTATCATTCCTCTGTGAAGCCTTAAGCAGTTAAACACCCCTCCCGTATATGCCTAAAACATTCTGTTCACTCCTGGTTTAGCACTTATCACACTGAACTATGTGAGGCAGGACTCTGCCTTATTCACATTTATGTTTCCTAACACAGAACAGATGCTCAATATATGAATAAATAATCTTATTTGCAGTCTCAACTGTATTTGAAGCTTTCCCTTTCTTCTTTTACCTCTCTTGGCCATCACAGTTACTAGGCCAAAGCTTTCCTCTGGGCACCCTCTTGGTCCCCTAATAATCCTACTATTTCCTCCATTCACTTTCTTGTCCATTCACGTTACCCCTGCAGTGGATCCTCGTGGGGTGCTTCGGGGCACGGCAGGCTCAGGGTCAGATGAGCTCTCACTTGGGACCTCACTTTCGTCTCCATCTTCAGTTTCAACCTTGAGAACAAAATCTTCATCTCGTGCGGTGTCATCCTCTTCACCTTGACAGGCTGACTGTTGCCGGGTTTTCTTTGGTTTGGTGGGGCTGCTCACCTTGGGGCTCTCAGGACGGGACACTGGAGTAGGCAGGGTTGTTGAGAGCTCTTCAGCCAGTTCCTGAAGATACAGAAGTGCCCTGTGGGATAAGGCAGAGTCAGAGCCATACTCACAAACACTTAACTAAGAGCCCACTTTTCCAGACATTTGGCTGATTCTTATTTCACTGGATCCTCCCAGTGACCCTGTGAAGCAGCTATTAATTTCCCCTTCCCTTTTGATAGATGAAGAAACAGAAATCCAAGAAAGTTAAGTGACTTAGCCAAGATGATTCAGATAACATATGTGGGATCTAAACCAGGTCTTCTGACTCGAAGTCCCAAGCACTTTTCACTCTACCACAGTCAAAAGTCACTGATGGCAATGGAAAATAATGGAAAGGCATGTATATCGGGTGGAAATTGCAGTGAAGACCTGGAGGAAACTGTGAAAAGTGTGATAGGATACAAAGTACAGAAAGAAACCTCCTGACAGACCAAGTTAGGAAGATTCAAGTTGCTGTGGTAAAAGCCAGAAGATTGCTCAAGTCCCCAGAACCCTGACACCACCCCGGCTTACCTGATGCCTCATCATAGTCTTCTGATCTCCCAACAACCGACCCACCCTGATTCCTTTACCGCAACCCCCCTCCACCAAGATGTGCCCCAATCCTTACACTTGGGCAGCCCTTCGGCGGGGTCGTTGCCCAGGTGGGGTCTCAAAGTCCTCAGGGGGCCTCTTTGGAGGTGGAGACTCTGGCTGATCTAGGCCTTTTGACAACTTCAGCAGTAGCAGCTCTGCCTTGGGCTTTCGACCTCGTTTCTTAGGCATGGGGGTGGATAGAGGGTTGGATTGATCTAAGTGACCAGGAACCAGAGGGGCTGATGGAGGATTAGGCTGTTGGGGCCTTTTTGGGCCTTTCCGTGTCCTACCACCTCTCTTCCGGCCAGGCTTTGAGGCCCTAGGCTTTGAGACCTTTGACATCTCTGAAGAAAGATCTGTAGAGAAGAATACGGGTCTATGAGATGGGACCAGAGCTCAAGCCTCTTTAGAACAGACTACATCATACCTAGGTTTTTAAGACCTTTGGCTCAACCTGTTCTCTTTCATTTTAAGCTAAGCACAGGGAGAGAAAAAGATGAAAAGACAAGGTACATACCTTGCTGTTCCAGCCTGGCGGGGCTTTCCTGCTCTGGAAGAAGCTTTTTATCATCAAAAGAATCTTCAAATCCAGACAAAGTGGTAGGCAAAGACACCTCTGTGGAAGCCTCTGTACTGGTTGTTTCTGAAGTGGTCTTGACATCAAGTTGGTTTAGCACCCCTTGTCCGGGAGAGTCTACTACAGTCATATTCCCCACGGGGCCGGCCTCCCCCAGGGCGACATAGCCGACCCCGCAGGTATCCATCAGCACCCCCTAAAATGGCTGCTCCTGCACAGACACATACAAATGAGAAGAAGGCAAAAGCTATTTGTACTGGCTCAGATTTTTCTACTTTCCTCCCCTCACCGCCCCTCTCGCAACGAGAAACCTAAGCTCCCTGATCATTCATTCATTCAACGGTAATTACTAAACATCTTCTATATGTCAGGCTCTGTTCTAGGAATTGGTAATATGACAGTAAGCAAGATAGACAAGGTACCTGCCCTCATGGAATTTACATGCTAGTAGAGCTGATAATGAACAAATAATAAAAAAGCCACCATTTATTAAACACTTGCTATGTGCAAGCATTGGACTAAGTGCTTTAATTACATTATTTAAAGCTCATAAAGTTTCTTGTAATAATATTGCAGTGAATGCCTAAAGCTAAAATCTATCTTTGCAAATATTAGTCAAAGAACAGATTTAAAAATAAGTAAAACAGTTCTCTAGTGCCCTGTCATCAATCTTTCACCTGGGGGGAGGTGCTAGGCTTTCAGACAATTCAGGAACATCCTACTACATTAACAGACTTTTCCCTGTCCTGGCCAGGTAGCTCAGTTGGTTAGAGCATTGTCCTGATGCGCCAAGGTTGTGGGTTTGGGTTTGTTACCCGCAGGTCAGGACACATACAAGAATCAACCAAGGAATGCATAAATAAGTGAACAACAAATCTCTCTCTCTCTCTTTCTTTCTCAAATCAATAAATTAATTTTAAAAAGGGAAAAAAAGAGAGACTATTCTCACATTAAAGAATGGGCTAAAAAATGGTCATGAATCTTCATTTTCTTCAAACCCAGGAAATCAGATGTGTATCCAAACCAAAGTAAACTGACAGAGATAAGCAAAGCGCTGACTCCCAAACCAAAAACCTGAGCAACAAAGAACTCTGCAAAGGCAGTTTTCGGCCACAAAAACCTTCTCGTCTGTTACAAAGGGGGAGAAACAGCTCAGATCTGGGGAGGGAACTCCTCATAGGTCTGCATATGTCTTAAGGATAAAGAAATCATCAGCCTCAGTAGAAAAGTTTCCTCATGCAAATACCATAAGAAATATCATACAAATTAAAGTTCACAACTGTCTCTCTTGAAGAAGCTACAGTCAAAGCAGATTATGAACTATAATAGCCAACCCTCTAACTCAGGTACTAAGGACACAATATAATATCATGTGCTAAAGACAGAATATAACAATGCCAAAGTAAATGGAGGTGAATGACAATCTACCTACATTGTCCTCTGGTAAATAGCAAGCCCTGACAGAACTGCTCCATTCAAAATTAGTAATAAACGAAAAGGAACTAAATGGAATCTAAACATAGATACTATTGGGGAGGGGGGAGAGACACAAACACATGAAAAAAATACACAAAAGCACCCATTCAAAGAAAGGCTCCAGAAAACTGAAAAAAATGTTCTAACAAAAGCTTCTACATTTTCAAAATAACCCAGACTATGAAATTCAAGAAACAAGAGATCAAGGTAGAGACAAAACAATGGCAAGGTAACAAGTAAACTGGCAGTCATAAGGAAAGAAACTGAGTAAAAGAATAAAATCATAAAAACGAAAACCAGAGAAGTAAAATGTTGAAACTATACATGCTGAAAAGAAAATGAGTAATATGAAGGATAGGTTTGGGGAAAACCACGTATGCCCGGCTGGCGTGGCTCAGTGGTTAAGCATCAACCTAGGATCCAGGAGATCGAGGTTCAATTCCTGGCAGTCGGGGGCATGCAGGAGGCAGCCAATCAATGAAGACTCTCTCATCATTGATGTTTCTATCTCTCTCTCTCCCTCTCCCTTTCTCTCTCTGAAAACAATAAAGACATATTAAAAAAAAAAAAAAAGTATGGTCTAGAGCTGTTACATTTTTTATACTGGACACTATAATTCTTTCAATATAATTAAATCAATGTTTACATTTTTGAGAAAATCACAATGGCATAAAAATNACCACATAGCTTACAAAGAGATAAAGGTGACGAGAAGGTGGTATAGACAGAAAAAAGTGGGAAGCCAACATAGGAATAATTGATGTTCCTAAAGAGAGAAGAAAAATGGAAAAAAAAAAACCTACAAAAATTTAACAGAGGAAAATTTCCTGAAATTAAAAAAAAAAAGAATACTTTCATGTAATAAAGGAAGACCTCAGTCTACAGATCCCAAGGGCTTACAGTGTAAAAGGGCAACAAAAACCAATAATCATCAAGAAATATCTTAGTGAAAATACTAAATTTCTCCTACAAAGGGGGAAAATCAGGTCAGCCTCAGGGCTCTCAAAAACAACTGATTCTAGAAGATAAAGAAACAGAAAGAGGATCAAGAGAATTCTTTACTAACGGGGATATCAGTCATGTAGAAGTAACTGGATGACATTCTCAATATGCAAGTTTCTAGGAATTTATAATTGATGCACCCTTAATTTTTTAAAAATCTACTTGAAGACCTGCTTTAGCCAATGAAAGATAAGTCAATATAAAGAACTTTCTAATGGAGAAGTTGTGGTATTAAGATTGATAGTAAGCATTTAACACAGTGGCACATCAACTGAGTTTATTTATTTTTTAAATATATCTTTATTGATTTCAGAGAGAGGAAAGGAGAGAGGGAGAGAGGGAGACAGAGAGAGAGAGAGAGAAAAACATCAATGATGAGAGAGTCATTGATCGGCTGCAGCCCGCAACCCGGGCGTGTGCCCCGACCGGGAATCGAACCCTGATCGCTTGGATCCTAGGTCGATGCTCAACCGCTGAGCCACGCCCGGCCGGGCACATCAACTGAGTTTAAACAACCATGGTAAATACAGCTATAAAATAGACTCTAACTTAACATTTTTAAAAGCCCCACAATGTAAAAATATTAGTATTCTAGGTGTAGTGGACTAAGAAAAAAGAAGAAGTATCCTAATTTTGTTTCTAAGTTTGGTAAATTAAAAGCATATAGTTGCTATTAATACCATTTGGATGTTTAATAGAACTAAAAAGAGTACACCATATTGCTTCCAAAATACCCTGTAGGCCACAAGAACCAGAAGGAATTTTTTTAAAAGACCGCACAATAAAAGATTAAAAATAAAAGACACATAAATACATACACACACACACACACACACACACACACACACCCATAAAGATAACAGAAGATAAAACATATTTATTAAATAATAAACATATATCTGATAAATTCAGCCATTAAAAGAAAGAGGATTCAGATTGATTTTAAAAGCCAAACAAACTATATGCTTTTAAAGAGATATCTAAAACAAAGGAACTCAAAACGCTGAAAGCAAAAAGATGAATTAAAATATACAGGGCAAATATAAGCAAAAAGAAAAAAGGAGTTTTGATGGTAATAGCAAAGCTGAATTCAGGGAAAAACGTATTAAATGGGACAAAAAGGGAAGCACTTTATAATGAATAAAACTTCAAGTCATATAAAAGGTATAAATATCATAAACCTTTAGAAATCAAATAACATAGCATCAAAATATATAAAGCAAAATCTTCAGAAAATACAGAACTACTTCCTTTAATCATGGGCAGTTCCAGCAGGTAACAACAAAGAGAATGTGAATAAAATGATTATTGCCCTCTCTATTGGCCAAGGTTCGGTTGCATAGAACAGCTTCTGCAATCAGAATGTGACTGAGTAGCCCTAGCCAGTTTGGCTCAATGGTTAGAGCGTCAGCACGCCAACTGAAGGGTCCCGGGGTTCGATTCTGGCCAAGGGCATGTACCTGGGTTGCAGGCTCGATCCCCTGTTGGGGTCCATGTGGGAGGCAACCAATTGATGTGTCTCTCTCACATTGATGTTTCTCTCTCTCTCCCTTCCTTCTACTCTCGCTAAAAAGCAATGGAAAAAATATCCTCAGGTGAGGATTAAAAAAAAAGAAGAATGTGACAGAGTAAGTGGGGAAGACCCTTCTCTGGCTCCCAAATCCAGAACCATTCCACTACCACAATCTGCACCAGCAAAATGCATACTTGCTGGCCTGCCCCTCTCCTCTTTAGCCTCAGGTCTAAACTTGAGCTCTTCAAGAGCGCATTTGATCAGCAAGACCTAAATCATATTCAGAATCCTGGATGGTAAATTTCCAGGAAATGAAATGTCTAGCTTTTTGGGCTCTCAAGTGGAGGCTGCTCATTCCCTCACATCCCACTTACCCCAGGGTAGAAAGTGGGATTAGTGTCTTCTCAGTTCCTCTCCAATGCCACATCTTGACAAATAGTCCTTCCGCTCTTGTAAACACCTTTTCCTTTGAAGCTTGTAACATTTAGCTAAAGTACTGCTAGTCACTCTTCTGTCACACCCTGGACCCTACCGTCACATTAAACCTTTTAACCTCCAAAATCACTTAGACATCCACTATCTGATCACAACCTCCCATCATTACAGCTAGACGGCTCAACTACTACCACTGTATCTATTCTTCATATCTAGCCACTACTCATTGATCTCTCCAATTTCTCCCTATGGCAGCGGCCACATGCAATTGAGCTTAGATTTCTTTATTTTACTCAGACTCTTACTGACATCATGAACTTCCTTTCTTTCTGTCTTTTGTTCCACACGTCGGGCAAAATTTGAGTCCTGGGTGAACCAATCATGGATCTTCTCCACTATGTACATCTAAACTGCCCAAGTGCTAGCAATCACACTTTTTCTCTTAGTCACTCCCACGCCTTCTCTCTTCCAATGTCTGATCCCTGGTTCTCAGCAGAGGACTTTGCCTGTTTTCTGAAACAAAACCCAAAGCCATTAGATGGGAACTATTTCGATTTCTTGTCAAGTAGCCTAACCCTCTCTGCATCTAAACCCTCACCCACTTTCTAAGGTCACACCTTCCACTAGCGTTCTAGCTCTATTTCCCCCGTAAGGAAACCAGAGTCATTTATCCTAGTCCTTTCCATGAACATCTACATGTTTACAGTTCTCATCTTACCACACATACAATTAGCCTTCAACCTACATTCCTCCTCCAACTAGTAACTTCCTCCTCCATCTCACAGTCAAACTTTTGAAAGAGTGGTCTGCCCTTACATTTTAATAAATCTGCTTCCTCCTAACTAGGATATTGTCCCCAACTCATCCCTGAAGCTAAAATCATCAGTAATTGCTATCAATTAATCCAACTGACACTTCTCAGTCTTGTTTAACTTGACCTCTCAGCAGCACTGAGGGTACTTACCATTACTTTCTTAAAAACATTCTCTTTTCTTGAGAAGCAATTCAAGTGCAATAACCTTCCAGATTTTTTACAAATGTTCCTCAGTCTTTTACAATGTCTCACTCACACCTATTTGGCAACTTTTTTGCCTGTTTGCAAACTCACCTCTTTTGTGTTTCCAAAGCATTCAACTTAGTTTGCGTCCTTTTCTTTCTTTGAATTGTTTTTATAGAACTTTTAATTGATACCAAATACTTATAAATATAAGTAGACTACAAAGAACAACAAAATATTTGTGTATCTCCCATGTTTCAGCTTAGTTTTAATAGAGACAACAATTTCTTCGTACTCAAATTTCTTTAAAATTTAAATATATAACACCAAATGTAATGACAAACCAACTGACATAAACAGATTTGGGAACCAATACAATGACACTTGGCAAGTAGAGTGATCAGGCCTATAGGAGAAAAGCCTATGCAGCTTCCAGCATTTAGTGTGCCATGGGCATCAGCCTGTATGCTTTACAAATAAAATGGAGAATGTCAATTAACATAAGAAAGTTAAATGGAGATCAGTCAAGAGAACTTCAATACTATATGTCTTAAAATTTTCCGTATCAGTACGCATATACTTATCTCATTCTTCTTGGTTACTATATGGTATGGTGTTCTATAGAATTAATAGTTTATTTAGATATTTCCCATTTAAGGACAACTGGGTTACAATACTATTACAAACAATACTGCAATGTATATTCTAGTACAGGCCTCTTCATTAATGAGAAATTATTTTTCTAGAATGATCATCTAAAGTGAAATTCTTTATCAGGTTGAAGGGTATGCATATTTTAAAATAGATACTGCCAAACAGTTCACCAAAACAAAAACCAATTTATATTCCCACTAAGTATACATAGCCATTTTACCACACCCTTGCCAATCTTTAATTTTTGCCAATCTGATGGGTGAAAGAATTCCTCCTTTTTTAATTTTTATTGACCTAATAATAATTGAATTTCTTTTATATGTTGGATATCTATATGTCTTTTATGAACTGCCTGTACATAAAATTTGTCCATATTTCTATAGGGCAACTTGATCTTTTCCTTATTGATCTGTGGAGTTATTTACGTTGCAAATATTTTCTCTTTGTACCTACTTTTAACTTTTGCTTATAATGTTCTTCCTAAACTGAAATTAAATTTTATAAGTTCTCAAACTTCTCCCTTATGGCTTGTTTTGTGTCTTAAAAAGGCATTTTTGCCTTAGCCAGTTTCGCTCAGTGGTTAGTGTTGACCAGTGGACTGAAGGGTCCTGGGTTTGATTACTGCCAAGGGCACAAACCTCAGCTGCAGGCTCAATCCCCTGCCCCAGTCAGGCGAGTGTGGGAGGCAACCAATCGATGTGTCTCTCTCACACAGATGTTTCTCTCTCTCCCCTTTCCACTCTCTCTGAAAAAGCAATGGAAAAAATATACTCGGTGAGGATTAAAAAAAAAAAAGGCATTTTCTATCCCATTGACATAAACATATCCTATTTTATTTTCTTCTAATACTTTTTTCTAAATTTGAATATCACATGTAGCTTTTTAGTCCATCTGGAATTTTCTTATGATAAGAAATATTTGTATTTATTTATTTCATATCTACCGTCCCTGAAAGTTTCATAAAAATCTTGACTAACTGATTCACTTTGTATCCAGAACCTGCTACATGGTAAGTGTAATAATTAACCTTGTTGACTGAATGACTAACTTCTCAAGGTACAAAATCCCTTTTAAAGATTCACTTCTTATAGAAGGGTTAGTGGTTAATTCCATTTATGATTTCACAAAACAAATTTTGGACATAAGTAAAGGATGTTTAGTAAATTTGGACTAGAGTTTATAAAATTTTACATTTGCACCCCGACTTGTCTGGTTTCCAAGACACTTCACCAACTGACCTCAGCCAAGGAAAATAAATAACACTGTTCCTTAAATATGGAATTACTTTAAACTCACTGGTCTAACATGTTGTTTCCCAAAGTGTTCCTATGGTACAACTGATGGCATGCAAAATGATTTTAGTGGTATAAAAATGAACAATTTTATTTGACTGGTTTTTTTTTGGTTGTTTTTTAAAATGTATTTTTATTGATTTCAGAGAGAGGAAAGGGAAAGAGAGAGATAGAAACATCAATGAGTCACTGATCGGCTGCCTCCTGCACGCCCCCGACTGGGGATCAAGCCCGCAACCCGGGCATGTGCCCTGACCAGGAATTGAACCTGATCGCCTGAATCCTAGCTCGATGCTCAACCACTGAGCCATGCCCGGCCGGGCGACTGTTTTTATTTTAAATTGCATAAAAAAATATGTAACAAGCCCATGAAATATGATATCATAAGTTCATCTATATTTCTTAGAGAATATAAATAAATTTAAATAAAACTATTAAGAAAACAATAGTCCAGTTGATAACAATGGACGGGAAAAAGTGGTAATAGCACAGGAATGACTTAAGTCTGTGTAACAATATGCCGCTGTGGCGAAGAGGCTTGGCCATACCCTACACCACTCTAGCCAAGCGCTGGGTGGGGTTGAAGTCGTCATCTCTACCTTCCCCAGCCAACTTGCCACGGGAGAAAAGGGCTAGACAGGGAAACGTAACTGGCCCTTGACTGCTCCAATGAGGTTGCAGCGCGCGGGGCACAAGCCCCAGGGTTAGAAGAACCTCAGCGAGGAAGAGGCTGGGCCACAGCAGGAGGAGGTGGTTGACCCCCAACTACTGTAGGGGTGCCCACCTGCCCTCCCTCAGTCCCGGGCATGGGAGCAGCTTTCACTGCTAGCCCGTGCCTGAGGCCAGCCCTGAGCTTTCTGAGGTTGAAGAGTCGACTACGGTAGGTTCGCAGAGTCAAGGGAGATAATGTAAGCGGCGCCGAGGCCCGGACACAGGACGTCGTGGTACGGACACCGCGTCGGGGAAGAAGACAAGACCGTGGTTAGCAGAGATGGGGGATGCGCTCTTGCAACGGTGGGTAAGAAAATGGGGAGCATGATGGTTCTATAGCAGTCCAGGGCTGGAGGTCGCAATGCTCTGCAGAGAGGGAACTGCGGAGCCAACATTTTAGAGCTACCTAAAAGGGAGGAGGAGTAATCTTGGGGGCCCCCGCACACCCCACGGCTGAACACTCACCCTCACCAAAGTCCTTCCGGAAGTCCAAGTTCGAAGATGGCGCCGCCCGTCTGGTCGCGGCTTTATGACGTAATCCTGTAGCTACTCCTAATTGACGCCCAACCCCGGCCGCCGCTGCCAGTGCACAAGGTAAACACGTGAGTTTGGTCGGGAGTTTGTGCCCGAAGAGTTTTCTATTACACTATGTATTCCATAATGCAATGCGGCGAGAGTTCCCGAGCCCTTTCGGAGCGGACGAAGCTCCTGGGCTTAGCGGCGCGGAGGACGCTGCTTGGCCTCATGGGAATTGCAGTGTCGGGAAGGTAAGATCGACGCCTGCGCGGTGATGGTCGCCGCGCCCCCATGGGTTCCCACGCGGCCTCTACGCGATACTCGAGTGTGCTGGTTTTCCGGAGCGCTGAATCCAGGATTTTCTTCAAGACTACTGGGCCTGTGGCGGGCAGTGCCAGGCCGGATGTGAGTCTTTACCTGCAAGCCTGGCGCCGCTTGAGCCAAAGACAGACTGGGAGACAAAGGAATCATTGCTACAAGCCGCCAGGAGGTGACTCCGGCCTCTGCCGCGGGGCATTACCCCGCCCTGCCCATCCCAGCGGATCCAACCTCTAGTGAAGTCAGGGATGAACGCGAGACAGAAGGCAATGAAAGGGAACTTGGGAACGGGACAAGAAAGGAGCAGGAGGAGTGGGGACCCTACTCTCGGGAGACTCTGGCTTGCACCCTGGCCCTGTTCGGATGTGCTCCACTCCCTCACTGGGAGGTGGGATGCGGTGAAGAAAGAATGTAATAAATTCTGCCTTTCCTGAAGCACTTAAAGAAGTCTTATAAATTTCACGCGTCTCCACAAACCGAATAGGAGAGTTTAGGATGTTATAAATACGTGGGAGGGGTGTGGTAAAACCTTTCTCTTCCCAATTTCATTAAACTCCCTTGCTTACCAAAACATTTAAGAATGGGAGGAGCTAAGGTTTTTGTAAACTGGAATAAAGGGTCTCTCACCCACCCCCTCTGTGGCTTAGGACCAACTCCTTTGTGAGCGCAAAGTTTGTGCAGTTGAGGATTGGTTCCCCAATACATCAGATCTTAAATGCTTTTGTAGTGAACAGATCGGTCTCTTCATTCCTGTTGCCTCAGATTAGGCTATCTTTGACTGAACAATTGCAAAATCTTTTTATATTAATATATTTGTTTTCGTAATAAGATATTCACATGGCTCAAAATTCAAGCTAGAAAGGGTGAATAAAGTGAATAATCCCACCTCTGTCTCCAGCTTCCCAGACCACATCCACACAGGCAATCAGTTTCTTGTTACAAGTCCAAGATATTTATGTAGTTATATACATATGTAAATACATATATCTTTCCCCTATTCAATTCAAACAGCAACTACACACACTTTGCTGCTTTTAACTGAGTGTACCTTGGAAATTGTTCCATTTCCATACATAAAAATTTCATTTTTTGTTATGATTGCTTAGTATTTAATTATATGAATGTAGTAAAATTCAATTAGTTCCTTATTAATACTAATGGGTATTTAGGTGGTTTTCAGTCTCTTGAAATTATAAAGTGCTGCTATAAATAACCTTGTATCTTAAGTTACTTCAAATGAGTATATGGATAACAAATTCCCAGAAGTAGAATTACTGAACCAAAATTTAGGTGCATTTGTAATTTTGATTGACAGGCAGTCTTAACTGATCTGTGTGTCTGCTTCTAATCTCTGCTAGTTATCTTTCTAAAGCACCTAGCAGCCCTGTCACCATCAAGGCACATGCCTGGGGTTGTGGGCTGGATCCCCAGTAGGGTATGTGCAAGAAGCAGTGGGTCAATGACTCTCTCATCATTGTTTCTCTCTCTCCCCCTCTCCTCTCTGAAATTAAAAAATTTTTAAAAAGCACCTAGCTGACCCTGTTGAACTTCTGCTTAACTTTGATGATTCAGTGGGATGCTCAATAAAAAATAAAAAAAAAAAGTTCATAATGATCTTTTTTAAAGAAGAGCTAAAAAGCTACAAAATCAGTTAGTCATTGTACACCACTGGAAGTAACTAGTAATCAGTTCCTGAAAACTGGCACATAAGAGGTAAGCATTTAGCCTGCCTTTCCAGTAGGAACTGTAATTCATAATAACTAATGAAAAAAATAAGCTGATGAGAGGGAGTTCTTTATAGATTATCAGCTAGTAATGTGGAAAGAATGGGAGAATTGGGGGGGGGGGG